GCCTCCTGCTCTCTGTATCACTCTGACCCCTTCCCTCTGACCCCTTCCCTCCTCCCAGGTATTTCGAACTCATCCATTAGGTCTCAGTTCAAATATCGCCACCTCAGTGAGGCAATGCTCACCTCCACGTTAAACGAGTTATACGATACAGACACACTCCCTCACAGTCTGCTCCTCTGTACCCATTTACTACCTGCGAAACCAACTAATAATTGTATGTTTAAGGACTATCTCCCCCAAATACACTAGAAGCTCCGTGAGCTCCAAGCTATCTCTGTCTCATCCACTCTCAGACCCTTAAAGCTGAGGCCAATGCTTCGTAAGAATCTCATGCAATACATACTGCTTGACTGATTCTTTAAACTCATGGCTCTCTTGCTGAAATTGTGAGTCAAAAAAAGGAGACTAAATATTAAATGCACCAAGATTTATACACTACTTTTGTTCAAATTATGTAGCTGCTGTGATTAATAAAATACAAACCCAAGAAAAGCTTTACTGATGGGGCCTGGGTGCCTCAGTCAGTTAAGCGGCTGCCTTTCGTTCAGGTCATGAGCTTGGGGTCCTGGGATAGAGCCCTGAGCCAGGCTTCATGCTCAGCAGGAAGTCAGCTTCTCCCTCTCCCTCTGTTCCCCAACTCTGCCCCGCCCCATGCTCACTCCTGCACGCAAGCGTGCTCTCTCAAAAAATAAAATCTCAAAAAAAAAAAAAAAAGGGGGGGGGAACTTTACTGAATCCATGCTTGTTTTTGCTATTTATTTTCTTAACTAATCAACACTAGAAATTCATCTGCTGCATCACTATCACATGTAAACCCCAAGTATTACTAAAAGCAGTACTCAAACTCAAACACTAATTAAGAGAACAGTTCAGAGACGTCCCATTACCATGCTTACTTAACACAGGAAACTGTTTCCCAACGTATGTCAACAAAATAAGCCCTTCAGTGTTGCAGAGTATAAATGAGCTGCTTTATATCGAGTTGAAAATCCTTTCAACCACTAAGCCTTTTTTTCAGCCATTCTAAGAATCCTTCAAAGTTTCAAGTTCTAATATACACAGTGAAAAGCAGACTTAATACACAAGTCCCTTCAAAGGTATTTGATTTGGTGATTTGGTTTTACCTGGATCTTGGGACGCCTGGGTGGCTCAGTTGAGTGTTGGACTCTTGATTTCGGTTCAAGTCATGATCTCAGGAATGTGAGATCCAGCCCCACATCGGACTCTGTGATGGGCATGGAGCTTGCATGAAAGTGTCTCCCTGTCCCTCTGCTCTGTTCCCTCCTTCTCCCTTTCTCTTTTAAAAAAACAAAACGAAAAAACCTGGATCCATGAGATATTTTTGATAAGAGATCTAGAGGTCTGAGCATAACTCCCAACAGACAAAAACAAATGGATACACATACAGTCACCCTTCAATCAAATGCACAATGATTTTCAAAGATGCCATTTTTTCCTTATTCATTCAACATATATTCACTGCGTCCTTACTAATGTATTAGACATACTGTGCTAGGCATACAAAGCAAAATCCCTGCCATCGAGGAGTTCAGTGAAACAACAAAATAGCACCTGAGTATTTCACTAGTGTCCACCACAGTTGCTTTGAGAAATGACAGAGCAGAGTGCCCAGAAGTCTGAGACATGTGATCAGAGAATAGTCCTCCAATCTAGATCACCACAGACTAATAGAGCCCACTACCTCTCAAAACTCACAGACTCCAAATGCAAAGGCTTCAGGAAGCAGCAGAGGGAGTCAGGTGCTGTTTATTAAACGAAATGACATGAGCCATCCCTAACTCTCCAGTGTTTCAAGTACAAAAGAACTACAGTCGCTGCCTTGTCAAACCATTGTTTTTAAGCACCAAAAGCATAAAGGGCCGATTTAAGTCTGTAACACTTAGTAAGTTCACACACATACTGAAAGTAAGATAAAATACAAAATACTGTAAGACACTAATAGATATAGTCAAATCAGCTTTCACAAGGTTGCCAAAAAAATTAGCAACACAATTATACACTACATATTTGAATTTCACTGTTTTTTTTAACAAGTTACAGAGTATGTTACTGTAAAAAGAAAAAACACACTTTGGAAAGCAATGACTCTCCCAAGCTAGACATAACAATTTCAAAAACTAAATGAGCCTCTTCCCATTTTATGGGTTGCACTTAAGCCTTTTAATGCTTTATACTCAGAGCTTTGCTGTAGCATAACTAATATTACACTAACTTTGCCCTGCCATAATACAACCTGATACAAATAAAATCTGTTTCCCAGCTTATGCTAATAAAATCAGAATAACCTGAACAGACACAGCCTCAGGTTCTCTCAAAGCAGCAGATTATTTATGTATAAATAAAAATAACAAGCCAGCCCAAGTTCGTAATTTCATGTCACAAAATTTTCATCACAAGTTAACCTGAAAAATTAATATTTACTTAGCACTTAATACTCTATGTTAGATACTGTGCTAGGATTAAATTAAATGGCATGTATAAAATGCCTAACTCTATCACTATTATTCCCACTTAACGGTGCAAAAACCAGGGCTTACATGAGTTGAATGGTCCACAATCCCACATCTAGTTAATGTGACAGCGTTGGGAAGCAAACCCAGGTCTTCCCACTAAACTTAGGGTTTGTAACCTAACTGAACCCTCTGGAACGGTGTTTGTATCTATGTGCATTTTCTTAGGAACAGATGGAGAGCTTACATTAGATTCTCAAAAAAGCCCGTGATCCCCACATAAGTTAAAAAAAATCACTGTACCATATGATCACCTGTAGGGGGGTAAAAAAAACAAAACAAGAAACGCCACACACTGGACTCCAAGGCCTTTCACCAAGACTACCACTTCTGTACTCCTAAGGAGGTAAAAACTCCACAGTTACAGTTGCACTTTAAAATCCTCAGAGCAAGTCAAGATTTCCACTCCTGGATAATTTCCAGCAACCCCTGCCACAGAGTAAGTTACACAATAAATTGTAATACTGTATCAGTTTACATCCAGTTCTGAGATTTCACAAATACTGACCAAATTTATTTAGTCATTGCACTTTCCAAAATATGTTTCCATCAACCAAGCCTCACTGCATTGCCTGTGAAAAATAAGCTATCATATATCCACTTCCGAGAAAGTCAAACACTGTCACCCTAAGGCCAGGCAATAAATCAGCTACAGAATCAGGATCCAAAGTGAGAAGTTACCTACTTCCCCCCCAAGATATGCGAGACCATGTCATTTACCCCAGAGCACCCTCTCCTAGCTACCCAGAAAACAGTGGGCATCTTTTCTACTAATGACAACATTAAATGAGATCCAGTAGTAAATCAGTGAGTTAGGGCATACCCCTAGCTGCCCGATGACAAGTGTGCTCCTCTTGAAAGCTGAGGCAGATATCACAGGGTAAACACCTGGCACATGCCTGGCATCTTCAAAATGAGACAGAGCCACTGAGGGACCCTGAGAGCCCTGTGGTAGGTATGGCACTCAGCTTAACTCCCAGCATCCTGTCCCTAGGATCAATCTTAATGATTCAGCCATCCTGAATTCCTGATCAGCAAAAACAAACAAACAAACAAAAACAAAACAAAACCCACATTTATGTGGAAATTAACTTTATCTTGAAGTTAACTGGTTCAAATCCCTCATTCTACAGATAAAACTGAAAGTCAGAGGAATGCAACAATTCACCCAAGGCCTCACAACTCAAGAGCAGAGAGACAGTTCTAGAAAGCAAGTCTCCAGACACCTGTCCAGGATCCTTACAATCCTCCTGGGCACAGAGAAATCAGTCAGGGATACTGGCAGAAGGCTGGCCATTGACGTGACATCGAGGACTTCACTCCCCCCCTTGTGCCAGATTCACTCTTTGCGTCCAGACTGAGATCCCTGGGGCCCAATGTCAGGACACTGACCTCAACTTGTATATTCTGAGAGACAAGGACAATTATTTATTAAAGCTAACCCCACCAGAGAGAAGAAAAATAGGATTCTGGCACTGAAGAATTAACTTCACAAGGAGTCTTTTAGTCTGTTAGGATGATGTTTTATTTATAACCCTGCCTGACCAAGATGACTTCCGCACAACCACCGTCCCAAGCAAACAATCTTAAAGATAATGAAGAACGCCACGCTTTCTAAGCGTGCGCCAAAGGCCGAAAAAACTAACAAAAACAAACAAAAAACAAACAAACAAAAAAACGTAAAACAAGAAAAGCAGTGGAGAGGACACCAAAGTCATATGCTCAACGTGTCGGGGCGCAACCGACAAGTTTTAGAAGAACATTCTTCCAAGAAACCAGGATGGACACAGTCCCCCTCCCCCGCCCTCGCCGAAAATGGGAGGTTCTCTATCCAGTTTGGCAACCCGCGCGCATCTGGACACCCGGGAACAACCCGAATGGGCGCTGCAGCGCGGCGGACGGAAAACTGAGAGTCCCCCTCTCTCAAGAGACCGACGCTGCGCGGACCAGCCAAAACCACCCGCAGGGGATTCCGGGGGCCGGCGTCACTGACAGTCTCCGCGCAACTCCGCGGTACCGCCCGCACTCGTCTGCCAGGACCCACACACAGTCTCTTCCCCTCACACCCATCTCCTCATCACACTCCCCTCCGCCCGAGAGCTGCGGCGGGAAGCAACGCCCACTTCGGAAAATGAGCTCTTAGTTGCGGGGACAAGCTAGGCGTCCAGATCACACCGTACCCAGACACACCGTAGCAGATACGGACAGTGAGTTCGCGGCTTTGACATCTTGGAAAGCACACTCTCAGAGAGCACCTGAAGACACACAAGCGGAAGTAACAGTCACGGGTAGTCAATAGCCCATCGGGAGGCTCCTAACTGCCATCACCCCGGCCTCCGGGCAGAGCACCTGGGTTCCCTCCCCGTCCCCATGCCCCGGGTGCGCCCTGCCACTAGCCGCTCGCGGGGCGCAGAGCTGAGGTCTCCCGATAGCCGGGACCGGCGGGGAGCGGGGGAAGGGGGAACTCACCTCCTCGTCCTGCTCCTCCTGGGACGCGCTGCTGCCCCGGGGCGCGGGTAGCGCGGTTCCTCCGGAGAGCTGCGGCGGCGGCGCACAGACTCCAAGCTCAAGCACCACGCGCGCGGGAGCCCACGCGGCCGGCGGCCGGGCTCTTACGGCGCCGCCCGGCGGCGGTGGCGGCGGCGGCGGCTGCTGCTCGCGGGAGAAGCCGCCGGGCTCCCCTTCCTCCGACAGAGTTTCTGAGCCCGAGGAACACTCGGCCGAGGAAGCGCCTGGAGAGGACGCGGCGGCCACCGCAGGGGCGGGAGCTCCGGGGCCGTGGCCGCTGCAGCCGCGAGGCACCGGCTCCGGCGCCTCCGAAACTTTCTCCCCCATTTCCCTCTCGGGCCCAAAGTGCGGCCCGGGGGGCGGCGGCGACGCGGCGCGCACTCAGCGTCTCCAGGGAAAGCTGCGGGCTGCGCGGCTCCGGGTCGCTCTCGCTGACGCTCCCGGGCTGCGGGGAGCCCCGCCGGCGACTACATGGCCGCGGCACGGCCGCCGGAGACCGCCGCCAACTTACCAGCCGCCCAGACTTGGCGGCCGACGAGGGCTGCCGCGCGCGGGGACAGGCCAGCTCGGGTCCGCGCTCTACGTTCCACAACCCGTGCGCGCCGCGCCCGCGCCCTGGGACTGCGGCTTAGCCAGCAAAACCTGCCTCCGGGCAGGAGCGGGGCCGGCGGAGGAGACGGGCAGTCCGGGGAACCAATGGCGGGCCAGGCGCGCCGGTGGGCGGAGGCTGCGGCGCCCCCGGCCGCACAGGCGTCAGGTAGGGGAGGCGGGGCCGAGGCTCGGACTACGGGATCCCGCCCGAGCGCTTGGGGCCACCGGGACTCCGGAGAGGAGGAGGAGGGACCTTGGAGGGTGGGAGTGGAAGCCCGCATCGGAGCCAAAGCCTGGGATTGCGAACTTGGCGGGGGAGTGGCTGTCGGTCCTTGGAATGCCTTGGAGAGATGGCTGAGGGGGCGGTGAGACCTTGGAGAAGAGCTGGACTTCGTTTGGAAAAAGTAAAATCGAGGAAACTGACCAGAAGAAAAAGTAGTAGGGCTTTAAGAGTAGAAGGAAACACAGTCACCCACCCACACGCATGCTGGAGGAGAAAGAGGGAAACTTCGTCCCACACTGAATCGATCTAAACCGACCTATTAACCAATCTGGGATTCTCCGTTTAAACTCCTCGGGCCTCAGTTTCCTCAACTGGAAATGGAGATATTAATATTTGTCTTGTCAAGCTATAAGCTGAACATTATCAATTATATATATATATATATATTCTGCCTCAGCAGCGTGCCTGGCTTGGAAACATGGATAGTTTTCCAATGACAATTTTCCTTATTTCTGTGTATAAACTAAAAGTTTAAGCCAACGACTTGTACCTTTGAAAGAGAAGAAAATAACGAAAAATGCCCCTATATTTAATTGGGAACAAGAATGTGCCCAGTACTGCGCCCAGGCCTAAACAAAGTTGAATTAGAAAGGGCTCTGTGGCCCTAACCATTGCCTGTCTCTCCACATCAGCTAAGTAGAGCATGAAAAGAGTTTGCATTTCCAGTTTAGTTTTTCCTATCCCTGGATTGTAAACCAGCAGGAAGCAAGACCAAGTGCTTCATTTTCCTTACCCCTAAGAATTAGGAGAAAAAACTTTCACCAAAGGCACAAGATTCACCTTACTGTCCTCCCCCAGACTGGAAAATGCACCCTCTGGGTGACTGAGTGACTTACATTTCTTGGAAGCCAGCACTCGGTTTAGCAGTGGGAAATAAATGATTCCTCACTTGCTTTCAGCTCCAGCCCTGTTCTGAGATCTGGCACTGTGACCTGGGATATAAATTCAACCTGATTAAATTCCACAGACACTGACTGAGTTGTGTGCCAGGTGCTTGCAGGGGATACAAAGATGAATAAGGCAGGTCCCCTGCCCTTGAGGAGCTTATGGTCAGACAAGAGATTGATGCTGCATAATATAGCTCCATTATTAATTTTTTAAAGCTGTGGTAGTGCTACAAGAACAATGTGTCATGGGAGAAGGGGGGAGAGTTACAGAAAAACAGTTAACAGGTCCTCAAGAATCTTAGATTTCTCTTTATCAGAACAGTTTTGCCAAAGGTCCTTAAGAACTGAAGGACTGGAGTTGAAAGCCCCTTCAGCTAATGAGCGCTTTTATGCTATCACAGTATTTACAAGTGCTACATCACACAAAGTGCTTCATTATACTGGACAGCAAGCTTTGTCCTGATCAGTTTCCTCCCCCCAGGATGAAGGGGAAGGAAATACGGCATGAACCTATTGCCATAGACAGCCATATACTGCAAAGCGGGCTCTGGCTGTCAGGCATATATTGTGACACTTTAGGATTATGTGCGGGGATGTGAATACCTGCTGAGGCAAAAGGACAATTCTAGTGCCTTGACTAAGTTGTGACAGCAAGGCTGAAGAGAGAGCACAGTGGGGCGGTCAGAATGCAGTCCTGGGCCTCACAATTGCTTTTCTAGTCAGGAGTACTGGTCTTTATCTGAACCCCTATGTGGCTGATTTGACAGAGCCAAAGTGAAATCAGGACTTAAGCAAACCATTCACATGAAAGAAAAGGAGAGGTTACTTTTCTGCATCGGGAAAGAAGAGGCAATGACATGATCTGAATTACTAACAGGAGAAACGATAATAGCAATTCTTGCTTGAGCCCTAGGCATTGTCTATAGGTGGTCTCATTTAACCCTGGCAACAATCTTGTAAGACAGACTCAATTGGCCCCACTTTATAGATGAAGAAACTGAAGATTTGCAAAGTCAAATAACTTTGCCAAACGTCACACAGCAAGCGAGATACAGAACTGTGGTTTGAACCCACTGGTCTGCTTCTGAGGCGCCGTTCAACATTCCAGTATAATGCTATTCAGAACACACCACTTTTTCAAGCACATAGTTACATGCTACATTACAAATATCCACAGAGCAGGAATACTGTTGTCTTGATTCAGTATGTAAAAGAATATGAAAGGATACTTGGAGAACAGATTGTTTCCCCCCACCCCCACCCCACATTTGTCAGGTACTTACAATGTTTTTAAATACTTTACAAATGTTAACTTTGTAATCCTTACGCCCTGTGAGGTAGCCACTATTATTAATCTCATATTACAAATATGAAATGTGTGAAAACTATGGCATAGAAAACTTACATAATTTGCCCAAAGTCACACAGCTGTCAAGTGACGGAGCCAGGATTCAAATTTGAAGTTTGGCCTCAGCATTCATGCTCTTAGACTCTACTGATCAAAATCAAGTCCTAGATCAGTATTTAACTTTTTAAACCTTAACCCTTCACAAGAAATATAGTTAACAACTCATGACACATATAAATACAACTACAAATAAAATTCCATGAAATAATACCTATCCTAAGTTCCCAGAAGCAATGTAATCTGAAATTTTATTGCATTTCATTGAAAATAAAAATGCTAGTTGCGATTACCTAAATATATTTCACACTCCACCCTGACACATGCAGTCGAAAGCAGTGTACCCAGTCATCCCCAGAGCTGACCCACGAGGGAAGTATGACTGTGGTACAGGCTGAGAGTTTCCAGACCAGAACTAGGCAAACTCAAAGGATGACTCTATAAATAGAAGGTGATCAGAAGGTCAGACTAGTTCCTCAAAAATATCACAATTAGACCTATGGACAAATGCTGAGGTTTGGCCAAACCACTGGAACAAAATCAGTTTTGATTTATGAACCCTGTGGTTTTCTTGTCTGATAAATTATAATCATCTTCCTCAGTGTCGAGGAAAGTACCCCAACAAAAGGACTTCTCATAGATGTCCCTACTGTTAGGTATAAAAGTATGGCTTTTTTCCTGTATTGTCACTGTGGCAAGAGCCAGAAAAATAAAAATGACTTAGTCAGAGCTCTTGGGAAGCACTGGTGTAGCTTTGTATGACAGAACCAGACCAGCCTACAGATGAGGAAGTACTAGGTGATCGGTGTCCATACGTTGTATGAGACAGGCTCCCAAGTGCTTGGTTCAAAGACAGGAACCCCTGGGCACTTGAGTCAGTGATCACTGTGTTCAGTGATGAAACACTTGCCTCAGTTTTCTACGTTGTTCTCCTAAGTAGCTGGAGATATTGTCTCTGAGAGTCTCTGTTGTCTCTGCCAGTCTCTTTCTGTGGGTGAGGCCAAGTGTGAATGTCAAGCTCTGTCTCTCTATGATGGAGGATGTTGGAGGAAAAGTCATCACATCCTTAGTCCATTCCCATTGCTTTGACCTTCCTCCTAAAGATTAGGTTTACAATTTAATAAAATTGAATTCAGCTTTCCTTCCGCCTTACCTACGTGAAATTAGAGCATCATCAACTCCAAACAAACATTTGTGCAAAATTACAAGTAAATATGTTCCTCTTTAACAGACCATCATGTTATCTTTAGACTATGAAGATGATGATATTACACTTTTGGCAGGTTTCTTAACTATCATTATTAATGATAGGTTTGCCTGCTCCCCCTTGACCAATGAAATGCAATTTCAGGACAAAGTAAATGTCAATGAAAAGGTGGCCATTGAAGTGGCCTAGACTGCGGTTTCTGATTTAAACCAGAAGGTGTAGCATAGTACAGCCCATGGCTGTTTCTGACCACCCAGCTGGGAGGAAAAGCTCCCACAGCTTCTCAGGCTTTTGTCTGTATCTAAGCCTCCAGGAGAGGAAGGGTTACAGGACAAGGTTCCAGAAGATAAGTAGAAGAATTTTTAAATGATAGTTGAAAAGGACGAGAGAGGAAGAGTAGTAACGTGACTTGCAGCTGTTGGAGTCTCTGACCTAGAGGTTGAGAAGGATGGGAAACTAAGCTATGTTAGCAAGTTAAAATAATCCTGCCACAGACCTAAGGCGGGGGGGGGGGGCGCTGCTGATCTGATCTCATAGATCAAGGTTCCTCTGTGAGTTGTACGAGAAATACATCAGATCAGGACGCAAGCATGAGAACAAAGGATGCTGATTCCTTGGCCCCAACGAAGGTATGGGAATCAACATTTTTAAGCCCCATTCCAAGGGAGTGTCAAGTATACTAAAGCTTGAGGATTACTGAAGATGTTCCTAATTTGGAAATCAAGGAGCCATTTTATCGGGCAAATGTGTATGGCTCATAGAAGGTGACTGGAATGAGCCTGACTGACAGCGAGGGCATCTTTTTGAACCACTTTGTTCCTATTCTCCTGGAATATAACTACCTTTGGGAGACCAAGACAACTTAGCAGCTGGACAGGAATATGCATGTTCTGAAAACAGCTGAAAAAACTGAGCTAATACACAAAAAGAATTGAGGATAATGTTCCCTTGAGG